AGGAGGAGGAGGAGGAGGAGGAGGAGGAGGAGAAATAGAAGGAAGAGATGGACCAGAAGGAGGAGGAGGTGGAGGAAGTGGTGGAGACAGAGGCGAATCAAAAAAGAAGAAAGGGATGGATGCGAAGAAAAAAGAGGAAGAGAAGGAGTAAGAGAAGGAGGAGGGGTTAAAAGAAGAGGAATCGATAGAGGAGGAAGCAAAGAGAATGAAGGGGAGGAGAATTAGGATATGACATAGATGACAGGGGAGTGGGGAAGATACTCACATAAATAAAGAGTTATGTAAGTTATTTTTAGGGACGTATTGGGACTCTAATTTCCGAACGTAAAATCCCTGTCGCTACTCGTTACCAATGCGTGCCTGAACAAAGTTCATGACGACATGGAAAGCTGATTGTGTCTTCAAAAAAGAAATTTAAAAAAAAGTGTACACTTTTGGCGCAAAAATACTAGGATTTATTTAAGCCTGGAACAAAATTGATTTACAGCAATTTCACTTTTAGTAGATGTAGGATTAGGTAACCTTCTAAAAACCTAAGTTTGAGAAAATGAAAGCAATTTGTGTTAGCGAGGAGAATACCATCGTGTACACTTCTCATTTCTATAGATCTTCTATGTTTGGTTTAACATAACAGTATAACAATTGAAGATATGGACTGTTTCCTACCACCGTTTTTAACTCATACCTCTTTGGATTCTGTACGAAGCTTGACTTCTGGCGTTCCAATGCAATCTTCCATAGCCTTAACACATTCTGAGGACGAACACAACTTGAGAGTTAATGTGCTTCTTCTTTGGAATTTACACACACTCACACACACACACACACACACACACACACACACACACACACACACACACACACACACATACACTCACACAAAAAACACACACACACGTACACACACGCACGCGCGCACATACACACACGCACTCACACATGTACTCACATACACACTGAAGAAACACTCATGTTACTCTTTCTATACTATTCACTTTTTGCTTTTGAATTGTGGGGTAGCTTCCTGCTTAGTTTTGTTAGCTTTGTGCTTGTGACTGGAATTCAAACATCCCAATGTTATTTTTACGGTATTATTGTTTTTCTTTCTCTTCTGTTCAGTATGGATGTGGTTACAAAAACCTCATATAAATTTTGGATTTGTCTTCTAAATGTATCACAGAGATTTTGTTGATCTAGCCTTTACATAACGCTGGGGTATAATTTATAATCCGTAAATTAGGCAGGGTCTTGGCGGGCACTATCGTAAATAATCCACAGCGTGTCGCTGGGACAGTTAAACATTAACATCCAGAACAAAATCTCACACGCCGAAAACAAAACGAAATCGGTTCAAACCTTTGTTTCCTGCTTGAAGCGCATACTCCAAGGGCGTTCCCCCGTCCACGTCCATAGGGAAGGGGTCTACACCCAAATTCAGCAGCGTTTCTACTGCTTTGCCGTGACCCATCGCAGCTGCCCAATGCAAAGGTGTCCTGAAGTTCACAGAAAACGAAAGGTCATTTGAAGCAAGGGTTGGCTTAAGAGATGAGGTTCAATACTATTTCAGAAAGCAAACAAATCGTCATCAATAGGCTGGGAGCCAAAGTCTATTTAGACCACCTTAATGGTGAAGTATGCACTTTTGTGGGAGCTGCGTATTCGATCTTTGGTTGGGTAAGAAAATTATGTGAGAAATAGACGTCCAAATTCCGATGCCTTGTTATACTTGACTGCCCTCATTGTTGTTGAAAATATTGAAAATAATTTGATAAACCTTGTGGAAGAATTTCAGATGCTGGCCTCGTTTTAACTGCATATGTCTATGAGTATCCTGAAAAACTTTTAAGAGTAAAGTGGAAAGGAATCGGGGCAGATGAGGCTTTGAAAAAGGGGGTCACTGTTAGAATGAAGAATGGAAATGGATCGAGAGTAAGTACTGTTCATCAACTGCTAAAGTATTCGAGCGAGGTAAATAGTGTAGCTACACGACAATTTTCCTCACCTTTCATCAGGGTCTTCGATTTCCAAGTTGCAGCCTTCACATCGAGACAAAATCTTTAAGATATTCGAAGCACCGGACGCTGCCGCATAGTGGGCTGGAGATTTGCCGCTGAAGTCAAGGTCATTCACCGTGGCCAGGCCTTCTGTTAGACTGGTCAGGCGATGTGCGCACTGGAAACTGTTGTTCTGTTGTAAATGAATCGTAAAGAATATATTGAATTATTAAAGCTGAAACATTTAAGTGAAAGCTGTTTTGTTTTAAAGTACTTTTTAAGCCGTTGACTTTACTTCAAATTACTGTAATGCGTTAAATATTAATACTTTGTAACCAGGGGCGAAGGCTGACTTGTTTGACAGGGTAATCAAAGTGAAATGGGACCAGATATAGATCTATATGGCCTGTAGATATCACATAAGAATCTTACTCGAGGCGGCGACTCTGACTGAGTTGTAAATGAAAACAAATCCGGAATTCATATTGTATGTTCAACCGCCAAAATAATCAGGAAAGTATCTTATTAAATATCAGTTCCAACTAAAAATAAATTAACTTTAGATGTGAATACATAAACACAAAGCAAAGAAGCAGAGATGTCAGTACTAGATCTATATGTTATAGATCTACCAGAGAGTCTAACTCTTTGGTAGAGCATGACAATTATCATTTTTTAAATTTCACATTTGGCTGTTTTTGTTAGCCTTTCGCGGCCAGGAGCTGGTGTCATAATCGAGGTCACGATCTGATTATAGGACAGTAAAAAGTCGAGGAAAAAAAACAAGCACATTCAGCAGTAAAGAGATTGTTAGGAGTTAGTTCCCCTCACAATTGTGAGGTAGACTCGACCAGTGTTCGTTAGCTTACTTAATCAGGGCTTGTGACTGATTTTAACTGTGGCCCCAAAGGGGTGAACAGGGTATATGTGGCAATGAAACAGCCATGACTGCTATGCACATGTTCCCTCAACTGTATTGGTAGACTCTTTCAGCCTGATTATGGAGTGGCCCGAGAGGGGTGAGGAGGCTATTTATGTGGCCGTGAAACCGTTTTGAATGTTAGGCATGCTCATTGTGGATTACGAACCTCTTTTTACTTTTAATTATGAATTTGACAGCGACAATGTTTCAAAATTAGGAAGGGAAGCAGTGATTATTTGATTATATAGACGCTTCGCCCCTGTTTGTAACTATCACGTTTCTTAAAGCATTCGTTTCTAACCCTTGCATTGCATGTCCAGCCTTAATTGCAAATGAACCGTAGATTCCTTCATAAGAATTATAGCACACGAACAAAGGTGCAAAAATATTATATTTTACCCCACACTATTCTTGTGAGTTGTTTACCTCATAATCACCCTGTCATTTCGAATACACTTTTTTCCCATCCCTTGCCATGCATACCCAGCCTTTACGTCCCTGGAATCATGCACCCCCCCCCCAACCCCTTCCTCACCTGAGCTGCCCAGTGTAGCGGTAACTTCCCGTCGACGTCACGAGACAAGATGTCCCCTCCTTTCTGGACAAGAATCAGCAGATGCTCCGGCCGGTCGTGGAAGGCTGCCCAGTGGACGGCCGTCATCAGCTGGAATTTGAAGTCAAAACTTTTTGAAGAAAAAGTGTATCACTGTTTTTTTTAAAATAAACGTTATTACTGTAGTTGTCAAGTGTTTACCATACTGGCATTTTTAGGGAAAATTATTCCTTTTTTCCCCACGTAGTCCTTTTCCATTGTACTTTACCTTCGGATTGTTGTTTTGAAGTGCTAAAATATCATGCTCCTTTGCGATGGAAAAAGCCACTAATTTTCCCCCCACATCATTATAATAACTCCTTTTGTTGTCCTACATTTAGTTCTACGCACATCTTCCGCTTTTCAGATGTCTTCATATTGTAAATTTGTGTGTTTTACATACGGGAACAAAAAACATGACACGCCGTACAAACAATGGTTATGATTGTTCTTTGAACGACACAAGTAGAGGAGAGAGTGCACGTGCACGTATGTGTGTGTATGTGTGTGTGTGTGTGTGTGTGTGTGTGTGTGTGTGTGTGTGTGTGTGTATGTGTGTGTGTGCGTGTGTGTGTGTGTGTGTGTGTGTGTAAGTGTGTGTGTGTGAGTGTGTGTGTGTGTGTGTGTGTGTGTGTGTATATGCGATTGTTGGAGAAGGGAGGGGGTCATTAATAGTCAGGTCTCACCTCATGGTCGGCTAAGTTGATCTCCTTGCTGGTCAAACCGTTTAGCAGCAGAGACAGCGTGCTGGGGAGAGAAGGAAAACAAAGTAAAACACAACTACATGGATTTTCACGGAACGAGAACGCAATTTTACCTTTGTGAAATGTAGAAGAATGATGGCATTGTACATAATTCAGAGGGTATGAAGTGGCACGCAACTGCACGTGATTGGTACAAACTGTACAAATGTACAGCCTTGCACACACACTCACACACGTACACAAACGAACACACATAATATACACACATATACACAGACATGCACACGTGCTTTGTTTGCTTTTTGTTTTGGTAAGTGTTTTACGGCGCTTGCAACTGCATAAGGTCATTTGAGCGCGTGGGACACAACAAACATTTTCAGGTGGTAGGGAAAATTGGAATTTCGCCCGGGTGGCGGCCGAAGTCTACACTTATCAATTTGGATCCCCAAGGGATATTTAACGTGCAGAACTTGCGCACGGGACCTCCGAGATTGTTCGCCCTTGTCGGAGAAGGCTAGGTGTAGATCTTTCCTACAGTAAGAAGAAGGGGGAAGACAGGGGAGACGGAAGCAGACGACAGAATATTGTTAGAGAGCAGGACAGGACGAGAAAGGAGACAATTTGTGGGAAGAACATTTTCCGTCACTATCCGGATTCGAACCCGGGGCCTTTGAATGAGAGGCAAACACCTTAACCTCTAGGCCACGACCCCCCCCCCCCTAAAAACGTGCAAATATACAACTGGACATAAACAAAAGTAAAAAACATATACTCTAAGGCGTTTCATAAGTATATGAGTGTGTAAACACACATATTATACAACAATTTAAATTTTACTATTTTAATATCTTCTGCAATCTAAATTACAGAACATACACCAATGGGTACAAAAACCAATTGAACGGAACAAACGCACATTCAAACAAAAGATCCGAGGAATAATATATATATATATATATATATATATATATATATATATATATATATATATATATATATATATATATATATATGTGTGTGTGTGTGTGTGTGTGTGTGTGTGTGTGTGTGTGTGTAATTACTGGGGCGGGGGGAAAGGGGGAACTCCCCCAAACAAACTCCAACACTGACGTGACCTGCCTACGTGTTTACCTCATATCACTGTGGTAGGTGGCTGCGTGAAGCGGGTATCGACCAGACTTGTCACATATGCTCTGCTTGGCGCCGTTACGCAGTAGACACATGACACCTTGGTGCCAGCCCTGAGCACGATCACAACAAAACATAGAGAATACTCTAGTGCTACTAGTTTTCTTAATCCTTGTCGTTGTTGTTGTTGTTGTTGATGTTGTTGTTGTTGTTGCTGTTGTTACTGCGGTCGTTGTTATTGTTGTTGTTGTTATCGTGGTTGTTGTTGTTGTTATTGTTGTTGTTATTGTTGTTGTTGTTTTTGGTGGTGGTGGTGGTGCTATTGTAATATGGTGGTGGTTGTAGTGCAATTGTAATGAACAAAAAAGTGATCAGCCTTGAATTTCTTTAACTTTATTACTATCTTGCTTTCGTTTTTGGATTAGTTTTGTGGTTTTGCCTCTTTCTGTGCTCATTTTAGAGACAAACTTAAAAAAAACCCATACATCTAGTGCCAAGAGTTATATCTTTTGGAGTTTAGTGTTGTCCAAGTAGCTTATAGGTTACATAAAATATGGTTATGGTTATTTCAACTGAAGAATCTTAGTGAGGTACATAAGCTATGCGCCATTCCCCTTGAAGTAGGAGAATGTATCTTTTAACAGGATACTTTTAGGAGGCCAGCCCTCTAACTTCAACATTAAAATCATTTGACTTTCTAAGTATTTTACTTGTTTGATTGGATATCGTGACATAAGCTTGTTTTAAAAAAAACGAACAACTTCAGAACAACGATCTCATAGTATGATTTTGATAAGTATAGAAGTGTCCCGTACCGCCTTCTACAAACAACAAGGCGTATGTCCTTCCCTTACCAGTATGTCACATAGTTGGCTAGTGGGCTTATAATAATAATATGTGTTTTTTGAAGTAGTGATTTCAATTCTCAGGTTAAAAGCAATAAACTATTTCATTCAATTTTCACGTCCTTGCTTTTTGTGAAGCTATTGTTAGATAAAAAAGACGAATGTTAAGTTATCGGCCTGAGCTTCAGAAAAGTTTCAGGGCAAAAACAGAGTAAAGCGTTCATGTGCTTCTTCCCCTTTTTTTCCCCAATAAAGCAGGAATGGGAAAGGTCTCTTGTTGGTTCGTTGAGAATGAATTACATGTTATCATATTGACTTAAAGTTGCAGACGTAAGCGATTGTGTGCATATTTTTTTTTCATATAGCGAGAATCGAATTTCCTGGGTTGGGTTTTATTTTTTTCTAATAAAATAAGATCTCTATAATGAATCCCATTTCCTAATCACCATTATTCATGCTTCATCACGATAGCAAGCAATCAGGAGAAACCCATCTGAATATTCTGACACCGGGTCGAGAGACTCTAAGTGGGGGCTTTTCTTACAGTCTATAATATCTCATTAATTGATCAATATTTCCTGGGGCTTCCTGTTAATGTTCATTATGTTTTTAGAACTACTCGCGGAAACTGTTGTCCTTTTTTTCTCTCTTTCTAAGGAAGGAAAGGGGGGGATGGAGAGTTGGATTCATGAGTCTGAGTAATATTCACAAGCTATTGCTCTTAGATTGTGAAACATGTCTTTCTCACCTGTGACAGCTCCTTCACCATCACCATCATCATCATCATCATCATCATCATCATCATCATCATCATCATCATCATCAAATATTTTTTTCAAACTACAAATAGTTAAGAACTGTTCGTTTGTAATGTTGTTTGCTGCTTCGGTCACTTTTGTCACCTTTAATTTTCTCTCAGTGTACCTGATAAGCAGCTATGGAGAGGCAAGTTCTTCCGACATTGTCCTGAGCATCAATGTTCGCCCCCAGTTTGATGAGTCTTTTCACTGCGTCCAGTTGTTGGCACAGGACAGCCTGGCCCAAGGGAGTCAAACCTGTTAAACAAGCGACAAGGGGTTACGAGTACTCAGTGGGGAGTGCATCAGCTTAATTGATTGGGCACTGATAAAGGCATATGAGAGAGAGAGAGAGAGAGAGAGAGAGAGTGTGTGTGTGTATGTGTGTGTGTGTGTGTGTGTGTGTGTGTGTGTGTGTGTGTGTGTGTGTGTGCATGAGAGAGAGTGTGTGTGTGGGGGGGGGATAGTGGGAGAGAGAGATAGATAGATAGAGAGAGAGAGAGAGAGAGAGAGAGAGAGAGAGAGAACAGGTAAAAGAGAGCCTGGGAGAGCCAAAGAGAGGAAGAGAGAAAGACAGCCAGACGGTCAGGAGAGAGAGAGAGAGAGAGAGAGAGAGAGAGAGAGAGAGAGAGAGAGAGAGAGAGACCAAGAGAGGGGGGGGGGAGAGGAGAGAACAATTTGCTTATTAGAATGATAGGCATTTCTTTAGTAGCCTTCTTGTGGATAGATTCATGATCTTGACAAATTCGCTGCCTTTGCTGCTGCAACTGATCTTAAAGTTGTTGACGTTGTTGCTGTTTTTCTTGCTCTTCTTTTTCTCGATGGGGTTTTCCTTGTTGCTCATTTTGTTATGGATATTGTTGTTAATTGAGCTAATGGCATCTTTGGAGTTGCTATGTCTGCTGTGTTTGTGACGGCTGCTGTTGTTGACGATACTGTTATTGTTTTGTTGTTCATTTTTGCGCAGGAAAGAGCAATAGAGACATCTTTATTACAAAACACAATGCCCTATTTTCTTCCTCTTATCACAATAGATATAATATCTCAATCCCTCCCACTTTTACTAGGGCGTATGAAACGGTGCGTATCCTCTCACAGGTAAACATTTCCACTAGCTCACAGAATGATAAGGAAACCAGGAATAAATAACTTCTACAAAAAAAAGTCACAGTGTTACTGTGAAGGTATAATCCGAAAAATCGATATCACTTTCCTTCATTTAGTCTGGCAGCAGAAAGAAACGAAGACTAACATCATTTGATGAAACACCGAAGAGAATTGAATGCCAAACAGAAACTTCCGGAGTTTTTCCGAATCAAATAGCAACGTGCCGTTATGTTACTGTCACCAGAGGAGACTTGTGGAATCAAGAATTTTTGTTTGATTTGCCCTTTAGCGAGTATGACGTGCAGATAGCTGATAGTTTAAACTACAAGAGTAACAAAATAAGCAACCAGGAAGAAACAGCGGTAAAAAAAAGAAGAGCAAGAGTAACACCAGAGACCTAGCAATGTAAACGAGACAGTACAGCTTGGGCCAGACCGTGAATCTGACCAATCCTGTGACATCAGGAACTGTGGCGGTAAACCCAAACAAACATGGTCGATTCTAAGAACACACACTGTAAATGGTGGGTAATAAACTGCAATAATTTTTTTTAAAACCCAGACGACCTGAATTAGCTTTTTGTCGTTTTCCTAAAAACCCTGGAAGGTAAGTCAATTGGTGGTTGATAAGTAGATAAAGGCTTAAATAGCGTATTATTCGAGAAAATTTGTTTCAAAACACACCCCTTTGTATTCACCATGAATAAAAGCGTGTGTTGTAACTTGTGTTTTAAGTAGATATATAATTATCTAGATCTAGATCTAGATCTAGATTCTAGATACGGATACAACTATTGTAAATCTAGGTTTTAGATCTAGGCTTCCTCGCATCTGGAGATAGTTCCTTTGGTTTAGATCTATCTAGGTCTAATTCAGTGCTCATCTCCCAGTTAAGATCTAGATTTAGATCTAGATTCTTTGGCACTTCTTCTTGTATGCAAAGGTCAGACTTAACGACAAAGTGCAGTGTTTTGTCCCTCAAGTTCGCCAAAAGAAGCAGAGGAAGGCAAGAATATTTCAACACTTGTAAAACAAAGCAACTTGGATTTAGCAATACACTTGCATCAGGAAATAGATATGGTGAGTTGTATATAAATCTCTCTTACTCTTTCATTTTCTCCATCCCCCCCCTCTCTCTCTCTCTCTCTCTCATTCTCTCTCTCTCTCTCTCTCTCTCTCTCTCTCTCTCTCTCTCTCTCTCTCTCTCTCGTTCTCTTTTCCTCGTCTTCTTCATTGCTGACTGTTGTTGAATGATTTATGAAGCTACTTGTATTTGATATGCCAAAATTATCTCGAATTTTATTGTTGTTATTGCTGCTCATAATCGTTATTATTGTTGTCTCCCTCCCACTTTCTCCATAATGAACATGTTGCTGTTGCTGCTGCTCTTGCTCCTGATGTTGTTGTCGTCATCGTTGTTATTATTGTTCTCTCTCTGTTCCCCCCCTCTCTCTCTCTCTGCCTCTCTCTCTCTCTCTCTCTCTCTCTCTCTCTCTCTCTCTCTCTCTCTCTCTCTCTCTCTCTCTCTCTTTATTTTTACTTTTTCTTAATGTTCCTCCTTCATACGTCCTTCTTAAACAATATGTCAAAATTGAGGTGTTAACTATGAGGTTCCCAAAAAAAGCCCCCCCCCCCCCCCGCGTATTCTTAATTGGATGTAAAAAAATAAGTACAGGTACTCTTTCGCAGCCTCCCAAAATGTATGTGAAGTGCATCTATTATTAATAGGCTATATGTGCCCCCCCCCCCCCTTTTTTTTTTGGGGGGGGTGGACTTCCGTAACGAGCGACCACTATGAGACAGAGTAGAATAGAGGGCTAGGGGAAGGAGTAGCTCTAGGGGTAGAGGTAGATCTAGGAGTAGAAGTAATGGTATATGGTTAGGGTTTGGGTTAGGGTCGTTATGGTTAGGGTTAGATCGAGGTCTTTTCTTTATTGTGTTTGTTGGGGTGGTTGCTCGTTACGGAAGTCCTTCCCCCCTTTTATTAATATCTGATAAATGTGCCCCACCCCCTTTTTTAAAAATTACCCCCCCCCCTCTTACTTGGAACCTCACAGTACACTAACAACTTTGTTTTGTTTACAGAACAATTACAGGCCTAACGCGAGTATGTTTACTGCCGCAGGCTATAAATAGAACAGCTCTCTCCGTTTACGGTTGTCACAGACAGCGCTGCAAGCTGTACTGTCTCGTTTACATTGCCAGGTGTTTTGTAACACCAACAGCTTCAATGAGAGCTACTGCAAAGACAAACTTAAATTTTGTCAAGACCATGAAAATGTTTACTAACTACTAACGAATACACACTAATACACAAATCTCTAAATTATATATATTGTTCTCCCCCCCCTCTCTCTCTCTCCCCCTCTCTATCTCTTTCTCTCTATCTCCTTATCTCTCTGTTTCACTATGTATCTCGTTTCTACGTGCCTCTCGCCCCTGTCTGTCTATCTGTCTGTCTGTCTGCCTATCTGTCTGACTGACTCCCCCCCTCTCTCTCTCTCTCTTTCTCTCTCTCTCTCTCTCTCTCTCTCTCTTTCTCTCTCTCTCTCTCTCTCTCTCTCTCTCTCTCTCTCTCTCTCTCTCTCTCCCGCTCGCTGTCTCTCGCCTCTCGTTCAATGTAGAAACACAATGTCACATCTTCAGGGCATACTGAAACTGCTGTGTTCTTGTGACTACATAATCCATAAACTTGAACCCTCACCGTCAAGACTGTACTGCTCTAGCAAACTGGGGTCCTTCTGTACGACTTCTGTGAGTGTATCTATGTACCCATCGGCCGCCGCCTGGTGAGCAGGGGGGAGGTCCGAGGAGTTAAACTCCTCCTGGTCTTCTGTAAAAGTTCAGAAAAGAGTTGCGAATTTAGCTTATTGACAAGCACAAAAACAAAAACAAAAACAAAAAAGAAAATGAAAGAAAGAAAACTAAAAATGCAAACAAGGAGATGAGTCGTTGTTTCATCTTACGTGTTTTCATACTGTTACTGAACAAAATGCTTGGACAGACATTAGTTAATGTTAATTAACCTCGACTTTGAAAGTATGCTCTGTTCTGATGCAAGTGTGTTTAATATTATTTTATACATAAATGAAAGAATCTCTTTTCTGACATACAATTAGCGCAATCATAACTGAACATTAAATTCTTAAGGTGGATAATACAGAGATTTTCTGTCTGCTTTAAAAAACTCGTAGCTTTCTATGGTTTTTTAAAAAAATAACGTCAAGATAAAAACAAACAAACAAATCAGTTTGAGGTATTTCGCGTCCTTCGTGAAGCTTTAACGTGAAGAAACTGAAAGACGGACATTTTATTTATCTGTGACGCGTTTACATAGCTATGTATGGTACCAGTGTTGTCTCTGTGATTTTCTCGCCCTCACTACGTGAAGTATGTGTGTGTGTGTGTGTGTGTGTGTGTGTGTGTGTGTGTGTGTGTGTGTGTGTGTGTGTTTGTGTGTGTGTGTGAGTGTGTTTATTTCTTTATCAGAGCGTTAAGGACTAACAAAATACAAACAGATTTGTCCATCAAAAGACCCTTCACGGTGGAGTTTCTAATATAAAGTTTATTCTTTTTACCATTCATAGCCTCTGTCGAAAGATTAGCGGGAAGGAGAGCTGGAGAAAAGAAGGAGTTAGCAAGACGAGTACAGGATAAATGCCACTCCTTCGCCAGAGGTATGTGATACGGAAGTGATGGCATCCCTTCAGCTAGTTGATTGCGCCCCTTTATCCCTTGCTCGAGACAGATGAAGTAGTAGATAGTAGTTATATCACCAGAGTAAGAACCAATATTGAAATGCCGTGTCCATAACTAGGCTGAAAGCCTAATTAACAGTCAAGAAAGAAAGACGCATCGTTTGTTAATCAGAACGACACGCTTCGTAAAAGCTCCAGACCTTATTAACCCCTGACATGCAATCCCGGGGCTCATTAACTGCTAAATAGGCCTACTTTTCCTACTACCTTACACCAGCAGCACGACTGAATGTCATTACTGAAATTAACAAATTATCACATGTCATGAGCGTTGAGGCGATTAAGAGCAAATTTGTAGAGTCTGTTTCTGTGTCAAAGCTATTTTGCCTCAAATTTAGGTTTATTACGCAGCCATCGATACAATTTAGAGCATCCAGGAGACTGGGTGACTCCAGCATAGGGACCATCCTGGGTTGTGCGTGTTATGTCCTGGAAAAAAGACGCACGCGAAACTATATCCTGGAAAAAAGACGCACGCGAAAACTAAAAAAGAACATTTTCCCTCCCGAAATGAAACTCAGCATGTGTGTAGAGTCACCTGACCACTAATTACTAGACATCCGTTTATTGAGGCATACATACTTTGATATTGCCAATTCCTTTCCCATAACACTGCAAGGTCTTTAATATTGATAAGCAGGCGATCTCAAACGTTGGCAACCCTAACGCATAGGGTGGAGTCTTGACGAAGGGAAGTAAGAATCTAAAGGTATACAATAACTCAGAAGGAAAAAATATGTAAATATTAGCTTTAAATGTAGGTGTTTTTTATGCTCCTATCAACACAATTTAGGAAGTAATGTGTTGGAGTTGTAGGCCTTCTTTATTCGTATAGTATTATAGTATGGGTTTAATGCACTCGGGTGGACTACAAGCTTATTCAGAAAATGGGACATTCGATATTACGTTCATTTGCAAAAGAATTCTTAGACAGGCAGTAAACAAGACCAGACGAGACAAAATTAGAAACTCAGTAATCAGAGAAATGGTGGGCACAAATGATGTCATGCATCACATCTGACACCAAAGAATCAAATGGTTTTTACATCTCATGCGATTTACCAACACACCATCCAGCACAACGTGCCTACGTCAAAAAATTCGATGGCAACAAGACTAGAAGGCGACAGAGAAAGACCTGGATAGATGGAGTCACGGAAACTTTAACAACTCAGGGCATCCCCCTGACCCAAACTCTCCGGCTGGTGGCAGAGAGACGTCTCGCACTTCCCGCGACAACCAAAAGGGTATAAGCGGCGGATACAAGTAAAGTAAAAGGAAAGCAAAGGGCCGAATTCAGTCAAACGAATAGGGGGGGGGGGCTTGAAACGCAAGGACAACCTTGTGATGATTTATATCAGGGTCATTAGCATTGTAGTCTAGTACTTGTATCATTCCCACTGAGCTTTTGATTCGCCCTCATAATTCATCTGCGACAGCCTCCTTCACCTGTTGCAGGTGTTTCCTGTTGACATGGCTGTTCTGAGGACTATAATTTCGGCTAACTTTTCATAACTTCTGTTTTTGGTGTGCCTTCTTTCATGTCAAATTTCTCGCAGACGTTGTTCAATATCAGACCTATAACAATCCAAACCACCGAAACCTTCAACGGTTTCCATGTATAACATACAATTCGTGTGAAAGGATGGGGTACAGGCGGAAGGCGGCAGGAAGGTGGGTAAGGGTGAAATCTGACAAACAAGCTTTCACAAAAAAGGGGAAAGGGGGTCTTAAAGGGAGCTTTAAAAAAAAGGGGGGTACTTTTAATACTTGGGACAGAGTGACATATATCTATATTGCATTATGCAGGGGCGAAGGCTGACTTGTTTGACAGGGTAATCAAAGTGAAACGGGACCAGATATGGCCTGGAGATATTATCACACAAGAATCTTACTCGTGGCGGCGACTCTGAGTTGTGAATTGTGAATGAAAACAAATCCGGAATTCATATTGTATGTTCAACCGCCAAAATAATCAGGAAAGTATCTTATTAAATATTAATTCCAACTAAAAATTAAATTTAACTTTAGATGTGAATACACAGACACAAAGCAAAGAAGCAGAGATGCCAGTACTAGATCTATATGTTATAGATCTACCCGTGAGTCTAACTCTTTGGTAGAACATGACAATTATCCTTTTTTTTAATTTCACGTTTGGCTGTTTTTATCTTGCCTTTCGCGGCCAGGAGGCGGTGTCATAATCAGGGTCATGATCTGATTATAGGACGGTAAAAAGTCGAGGAAAAAAAGCAAGCACTTGCAGCAGTCAAGAGATTGTTAGGAGTTAGTTCCCCTCACATTTGTGAGGTAGACTCGACCAGTGTAATAGCTTACATAATCAGATTTTGCGACTGCTTATAACTGGGGCCCTAAAGGGGTGAACAGGGTATTTATGGCAATGAAACAGTTTTGACTGCTATGGACCTGTTCCCTTCAACTGTATTGGTGGACTCTTCCAGCTTCACTTAAAGCTACTTAATCAAAGCTTGTGGCTGCTTATGGAGTGGCCCGAGAGGGGTGAGCAGGCTATTTCTGTGGCAGTGAAACCTTTTTGAATGTTAGACATACTGTTCATTGTTGATTATAAACGTCTTTTTACATTTAATTTATGAGGTTTACGTTTATAGGTGAATTTGACCGCGACTATGTTTCAAAATTAGGAAGGGAAGCAGTGATTATTTGATTATATAGACGCTTCGCCCCTGGCATTATGTACTTTTTGAAGACGTAAAAATAGAAGAATACAGCGACCGAATTGTCGCATTCCATTAAAGGCAGATGAGGTTTTCTATAGTGAAATATCGACTTGTGTCAGGATGCTTTTGTAGCGGATCTAACAAATGGCGAGTTGTCTCTGATACTGTATGTCTCTTGCTTTCTTTCTTTTTTTCTTTTCTTTCTTTTATTCTTTCTTTCTCTACTGCTTCTTTCTTTTTTTCTTTCTTTCTTTCTTTCTTTCTTTCTTTCTTTCTTTCTTTCTTTCTTTCTTT